TTTTCACTTTTGAGAGGTTATAAAGTTCATGAAGGAATACCTTTTCATAAATTTTTGAATTTGATATGCCCAATTTATCATGGGTGTGTTTTTTTTAAGGTTAAATGTTAAATTTAGTCCTTTAACTTTAAGAAATAAATATTTTTGGTCATTCAATAATTTTTTGTACTTTTTTTATCCTTTAACTTTAAAAATTGCATAGTTTTGGTCCCTACGTCAGTTAAGTATAATGTGGCAGTTAAATAATTTCACGTGGTATTGTTTTTTAATTTTTTTGATGATGTGGCACTAATATATATTATAATTATATTATATAAATAAATAAAAATGACACATAAGTTAATATACATATTTTAATTAAAAACATATAAAATTACTTTATTACCCTCATCCTCACCTTCTCCCTCCCAATTCCTCTTCTTCCCCTTCTTTTTTTCTCTTTCTTTCCTTCGGGTTTGCTGGGTTTGGTGGAAACCCAGCCTTGCTGGGTTCGTCGACCAGCCAAGGCTGGGTTTATCGGAACCCAGCAGATCTGGGTTTCGACGAACCTAACAAGGCTGGGTTTCGTCGAACCCAGCTTTGTTGGGTTTCGTCGAACCTAGCCTTGCTGGGTTCGGTAACCCAGCCTTGCTGGGTTCGCAACCAGCCAAGGCTGGGTTCGCTGGAACCTAGCAGATCTGGGTTTCGACGAACCTAGCCTTGCTGGGTTCAGTTGAAACCTAGTCTTCAACCAAACCCAGCTTTGCTGGGAAAGCTTGGTTCTTGTTTTTGCGTTCTTCTTTCGATTTCCATTTCCAGTTGTTAATATATTTGGAGATTGATTTATAATTTGATTGCATTTTTGTTGGAATTTGATTAAAGTTTGATTGTATATTTGTTGAAATTCGATTAGAGTTTGATTGGTATTATTTATTGAAGAGTTATTTTGATTTGGTAAAATCTGTCAGGTTTGGGGTTTCAATGAAACCCAGTTTCCCGAGAAAAGAGAAAAAGAAGAAATGGGTGGGTTAAGATCAGTTTTGTAGATGAAGTGGAGATGAGAAAGCATTCAGAGAATAAGAAGAAATGGGTTAAGATCGATTTTGCAGATGGTGAAGATGAGAGACCAGTTTGCAGGGAATCCATTGGAGGCGTTTTGCGTGAAGAAGATGAAGATAACATGTCATAAAAAAAAAAGTCCAGATAAGCATCTTTTTAAGTAGTTCTCACCATGTCATCAAAAAAAAATATAAAAAAAGCCATGTGGCCGAGTTAACGGCCCAAATTGACAGAAGGATTAACGGAGTGCATTTTGTATAGTTGAGGGATCAAAAAAGTGCAAAAAATTGTTGAGGGACCAAAAATGTGCAACTCACTAAAGTTGAGGGACCAAATTTAGCATTTAACCTTTTTTAAAAACATTTAATGTTTTCCATAAAAAAAAAAAACCATTTAATGTTAAGGTGTTTTCGATCAATTTTTATATATTTCAAGATTAATCTATTTTCACACAATCTAACCATGGGTTAAAAACTCAAAAACCAAAATGAAAAGACAAAAATTAAATTGCTTTTACTTTTACTTCCTTTTTCGGTTTTTCCCTGTTAATTTCTTTGTTTTATAGACATGTGCAAAAGTCATCATCTTCTCACTAAGTTTTGGAGTTTTGGACCGTTAAGAGGAGAAATTTATTTTGGACCGGATCCTTCCTTGGGCCAGAGTAATCTCGGACCCTCATTGATCTAACTAATTTTTCTTTTTGGACTGAAATTGAATTGGGCTTGGCCTCTCCCGAAGTAAACGAAATTAGCGAGATCTAAAACCCCGGCCCGTTAAGTTAAACCCTAAAACGAGGCCGCCAGCGTCCTCCGCACCCTGCCGATGGTCGAGCTCGCCGGCGTGATAGACCCTCTCTTCCCCTGCAACTCTTCCTCGTCATCCCTTAGCTTCTCCTCCGCCGATATACCATCTCCGACCAAGTCAATAAGTAAGCAGTTTTCTTTCTATTCCCTTTTTACCCCAATTTTCCCTCTCAATTTCTTATGAATTTCATGATGCCATGAAAAAAATTCATGGTTCTGTGTAAAATTTTGTTTATTATTGCTAGAATTAGCTCATTTTATCTATTTAGAATGCTTTACGAGTTCATAGATAATATAAGAGTTACCTGTTAGAAACCAAACCATTAGATGGGTGAGGGAGCCCCCAATAGCAGGGGGCTTGCTCCTATTCATTGGTTAAAATTGTGCAGTTCAGAGTCTGCTCTGGACTGTACAACACTTTTTCGATAATATAATACTGTACTTCGCAAATAAACAATTTGTGTGTATGATGTAGAATTTTAAAAATGTGATTTTGATTACTAATTTTTTTTTAAAAATTTTATTCAATGAACTAGTTTTGGTGGAGAGATGCTGTACATTGTTGGTCTGGGGCTGGGAGATGAGAGAGACATTACACTGAGAGGATTAGATGCAGTGAAAAAATGCGAAAAGGTGTATATAGAGGCATATACATCTCTTCTCTCTTTTGGTATTTCTACAGATGGTCTTTCCACACTGGTATGATAAATTTCCTTAATGTTTTCTTCTCTGTCCTTGCTGTTATTTATCGATTCACTTGAAGCGCATTTTTTGCATTTAATTTGTGATTTGCAGGAGAAGTTGTATGGAAAACCAGTTATACTTGCAGATAGAGAAATGGTAGAAGAAAAAGCAGACAATATTCTCTCAGAAGCTCATGGATCTGATGTGGCTTTCCTTGTTGTCGGGGATCCATTTGGGTATTCCAAATCTTCTTATTCTTGTTTTTTTTTTTTTTTTTTAGAGCAATGCCAATTTGCCACCAATGTAGTTCTTTTCAGTTGTTTTATGAATTCTTGTTACACACTTACATACAGATGTAGGTATTTGGTTTGGTTGGAATTCTTGAATTTTTGGGAAGTATTTGGCTTGTATGAGTCATTGAAGTTAGTTTCTGTTACATTTTGGCTTACCATTATCAGCAAAACTTTTGTTAACATAATCAAAGCTATGCAATCTGTTTTGGGGGGAAGGTGTAATATGATCTTTATGAACATTGATGAGTATATTAAATTTCACATGAAGTGATAAAGATTTCTAGGTAGTGACATTATTAAACTATATAGATTCTTTGCATTATATTTTAGTGGGTTATGGGTCTTTATCCAGCAGAAGGTTCTAAGCAAAGTTTGAAAATCTAAGGTTGGATTTCCTTTAATCAGTTTATTTTTTTATTTTCATTTGATCTGGCTTGCAGAGCCACAACACATACTGATCTTGTTGTTCGAGCAAAGAAACTGGGGGTTGATGTCAAGGTAGTACATAATGCATCTGTGATGAATGCAATTGGGATTTGTGGCTTACAACTCTACCGGTATGGAGAGACAGTTTCAATACCCTTTTTTACTGAAACATGGAGGCCTGATAGTTTTTATGAGAAAATTCAAAGAAATCGCAAGCTTGGATTGCATACACTCTGCTTGTTAGGTGAGGATACTGCTTCATAAACTAACCATATTCTGTGGTCAATAATTTTAGAAAAGGTTTATTTTCAAAAACTTTGTGAAATCTGTATTATGGTTGTTGCTTGTTTTAACTTAATAAATTTATTTATTTATTTATTTTTTGCCATGCAGATATCCGTGTGAAGGAACCTTCTTTGGAATCTTTGTGCAGGTGTATATTCAAAGATGTAGTTTGACAAAAAGTTTGCAGACTGCTTCGCTTCGACATTTTTGCTATTGTGATTGTTTTGACTTGGTTTTATCCCTCGACCATTTTCAGGGGAAGGAAACAATATGAACCCCCCAGTTACATGACAATAAATACAGCCATTGAACAGCTTTTGGAAATAGAAGAGAAGCATGGGGAATCTGGTAAGGTTCAAAAATTGTTACTAATTTTAGGCCTATATATTTGTACATTGTGCACACTTTTCAACTTTTCAAAGGTAAAGAGGGGTATGAGAGATTGTTTTACACTTCTCTATCCATTGTCCTGCAGCATACAGTGAAGATACCGAGTGTGTTGGGTTTGCTCGGTTAGGAAGTGAGGATCAGATGATAGTTGCAGGCACGATGAGGCAGCTCCTGACTGTTGATTTTGGCAAACCACTACACTGCCTTGTCATAGTAGGCAATACACATCCTGTGGAAGATGAAATGCTGGAGTTTTACAAAATTTAAAGAGTCAAACTTGGAAGAGAGTAGGGGTTATTTTGGCTGCCAACTGGCTGCCAACTGCAGTCTGTTTGGAGTGAAAAGTTGCATCTAAGTATACAGTTTCCCCTGCAAATTTGCATAACCTTTCTGGTTTGGTCATTTTGTGATAGCATGGACTGTATGGTAGCTTTTGTATCATGATGATGAGTTTTCTTTTCTTTTCTTTTCTTTCTTTTATTTTTTTGAGTTATACAAACCTTATTTATAGTTTTAACCTTTAAACTATTATTGTTTTTTACGTACGTATCAGATCTGCACCGTGTGATCTCTTGAACGACAGTAGTGTATACCTTAGCAAGGACATTGAGTTTCGAAAGAGGATGTATGTAATACCAAGGCAAATTACATATTGACAGAAGATGACAAATGTCTGTTACATAAATCAACATGCTTGAACTTTTTATTAATGATACATTTTAAAACCGTGGGGTGAAATTAGACAATATCACAGGTAGGCTGTTACTTTGTTACACTTGGATAGTAAAACGACTAATTAATTGGATGTGCCAATGGTACTATAAATATTGTATGCGAAACCCCAATACTTGATTAATGGTATTTATGATATGTCTTAACGTTTCTGCTTATTTGCTTAGGCCATTATAAATTACATAATGAAGCAATATCAATTCAAATCACAGAAACAAGTCCCAATCAAAAAGAAAAATGGCTACCCTCCTTGCTCCCAAGCAATTTTCTCCTGTCGAAGATGCAGAAAATATCAAGAGAGCTTGCTTAGGTTGTTAATCTTAGATTTCTGTTCTTATAAAAAAAATTGCAAAAAAAGATTCATATCCATAATTAATCTCTTTAATCTTCAGGATTTGGAACGGATGAAAGGGCCATAATCTCAATACTCGGCCACCGGAATCTGTTTCAGAGGAAGCTTATAAGGCTAGCTTATGAAGAAATCTACCACGAGGATCTCATCCAACAGCTTAAATCTGAGCTTTCTGGCGATTTTGAGGTTAATTTATAGATATTATATTGGATTTCAAATTCATAATTTGCATTGAGTGATGACATTTTTAATTTTGACATTATGGTAACGTACATGTAATAGAGAGCAATATGCCACTGGACCCTGGATCCAGCGGACAGGGATGCTCTCTTAGCCAACATGGCACTGAAGAAGACTATCCCAGATTTCCAAGTAATCCTGGAAATTGCATGTGTGAGTTCCCCTGAAGAGCTCTTGGCAACAAAACGTGCTTACAGGTTTCGCTACAAACATTCCCTGGAAGAAGATGTGGCTTCTTACACTGAGGGCAATATACGAAAAGTACATAATTAATTTACTTCCAAAAAATTATACATATTAATCATGGATTAATGAATCTAATCCTTATAATGCAGCTTCTTGTTGCACTAACAAGCACTTACAAGTATGATGGATACGAAGTTGATGGAGACCTTGCACATTCTGAGGCTAATATTCTTCATGAAGAGATCGCAGGAAAGGATTACAACCATGAAGAATTGATCAGGATCTTGAGTACAAGAAGCAAATCACAGCTTACCGCTACCTTCAATAAATACAGAAACATTCATGGCACATCCATAACCAAGGTACGTATGCATGTCAAAAATCATGTTAGTTAATATTATGATCCCAAGTTTATATAGGATAATCAATTTCTAACACTTTTGATGAATTTTTTAGGGTTTGTTGATTGATTCAACTGATGATTATTTGTACGCTTTGCGTACTGCAATCCGTTGCATTAGAGACCCTAAAAAATACTTTGCTAAGGTGAGATGAATTAATTAAAAAAAAAAGTATCATTAGCAATATTTTACGTACTTTAGTGCAAGAAAATCAGACTGAGATTAGTTCATTTTGCTTAATTATATTATATTGTAGATTTTGCGTAATGCCATGAAGATGGAAGGCACAGATGAAGATGCCTTGAGCCGTGTGATCGTGACTCGAGCAGAAAAGGACTTGAAGGAGATCAAAGAGCTTTTTTTAAAGAGAAATGATATGTCCCTTGAGGAAGCAGTTGCTAGAGACACCTCAGGAGACTACAAAACCTTCCTCCTCACCTTATTAGGACATCAAGAGAATTAATTACCCTTTATTTTCTGCCTAAAATAAACAAGGATTAACCTTTATTTAATTAGGTTTTTTTCTTTTCCTAATTAGTAAATCATTTAAGTTATTGATTTACTTACTGTATCTTTTTTGGATGAAGAAATTAAGGTTTATCTTGTCCAAATATTTGCTACTTATTATGTACTACTTTAATAAAGTTTTAATTTTAAAATTTATTTTTATC